TTTCCCATGTAAGATTAAGAGTATCTTGGCGACGTCCCACTCGCCATCCTCAGGCTGGTGTTTTTGGCTTCGTGCCAGTGCAAGCAGTGTGTGATCGGAACTGCCGTCTCTCTATAAATACTGGTGGTGGGGGATGGTGTGCTGGGCTGGTTGGCTGCACTGCTGCCTCTTGATTGGTTGATGGAGTTGATGTTGGTATAATGGGCTGTGTGATGGCCTTGTGAGTTTTGTTGTGGTGATACCCTGGATCTTGTGCTGCAAAATAGCCCACCATTCTATATCAATTCCTTGATCCTTCAAATCATGTCTATATTGTAGTTCCCCTCTATCATTTAATATATCCTCGTGATTTTTCCTTGTCTAAGTAGGTGAGGGTGCATCAATGCTTCTAAAGTTGATAGCCAAATTGGTGTTTCTACATACATTTGTCTTTTGGTTTTGTTCCATGCATTTAAGAGGGTCTGTCTGATTTTGTGTCTTTGAACATAACTATAGCTGATTTGATTATCCCACCACAGGAAAGCATGCCATCCTGACTGCAAATTATAACCCTCTAATATTAGCATTCTTTTATTCTTATGGTTTATCCAGTCTTTCACCCATGTTAGAATTGCAGCTCTATAATACAATTCCCAGTCAGATAGGCTGAATCCTCCCCTTTCTGTGGCATCTTGCAGCAAATTCAATTTGATTCTTGGTTTTTCCTTTTGCCATATAAAACTTGATATCATTTAAATTATAAAAAAACTTTTTTTCCAATTTTATGGGAGCATTTTGAAAAAGAAATAATAATTTGGGTAATATGTTCATTTTTACAGCCACTATTCTCCCCATAAAAGATAGTCTTAATTTATCCCATTTTTCTAGATCTTCTGTTATTCGCTTTATTAATGAGTCATAGTTATCTTTTTTAAGTGTTGTATGTCATACCAAAATTATAATCCCCAAGTACTGTATTTTCCTTTGTCTACTATCTGAATGCCCATTCTCGCTACTAGTGCTTCCTTTTGTTTATTTGTCATATTTTTTGTGATTATTTTTGTTTTCTCTCTATTAATTTTTAGCCCCACGACTTTTCCAAATTTTTCTAAATTGTCTCTCAATTTTGGACCCAAATTTTGTGGCTCTTCTAAGATAAAAAGAAAATCATCAGAGAAGGCTTGCAATTTAAACTCTTCTTTTTTATTTTTAATCCTTTAATTTCTGTTTCTTTCCTAATTGTTCTCGCTAAGACTTACAAGGTCAAAATAAACAAAAGTGGCGATAATGGGCATCCCTGTTTGTTCCTTTCCTTTTTGAATTTCAAATTTATTGTTATCTTCCCATTCTCCAAAATTCTAGCTTCTTGTTTATCATATATTGCCAATATTACATTTAGAAAATTTTGTCCAAAATCCATATATTTAATTTGCTGCAAGATAAAATCCCACTTCACGTTGTCAAAAGCTTTTTTGGCATCTAAAAACAATAGCGCCACCTGGTCACAACTATGATCTTCGTAACACTCTCTAACATCTAAAATTGTCCTTATATTGTTGCAGTTCAATCTCTTCTTGAACGTCTCAAGTGATGAAGCTCCCACAACTTTCGAAGGCAAGCTGTTCCATTGGTTCATTGTTCTAACTGTCAGAAAATTTCTCCTTATTTTCAGGTGAAATCCCTCCTTGTTCAGTTTCCATCCATTATTCCTTGTCTCACCTCCAGGTCTTTAGAAAATAGCTTGACCCCGTCCTCTCTGTGGCAGCCCCTCAAATATTGGAAGACTGCTATCATGTCTCCCCTGATCCATCTCTTTACTAGACTAGCTAAGCCCAGTTCCTGTAACCATTCTTCATAAGTTTTAGTCTCCAGTCCCCTAATCATCCTGGTTGCTCTTCTATGCACTTTTTCTAGTTTCTCAACATCTTTTTTTTATAGTGTGGTGACCAAAACTGGATGCAGTACTCTAGGTTTGGTCTTACTAAGGCTTTATAGAATGGTATTAGTACCACTCTTGATCTTGATTGTATCCCTCTGTTAATGCAACTTAGGATTGCATTGGCTTTTTTGGCTGCCACTGCACACTTCTGGCTCATATTTAGCTGGTTGTCCACTAAGACTCCAAGATCCCTCTCATAGTTACTGCTATTAAGCCTGGTTTCACCCAATCTATATGTGTACTTTTGGTTTTTCTTGCCTAAGTGTAGGACTTTACTTTTCTCTCCATTGAATTTCATTTTGTTAGAAACAGCCCAGTGTTCTAGTCTGTCAAGATCCATCTGGATCTTGAGCCTATCTTCTAGGGTGTTAGCTATTCCTGCCAGTTTAGTATCATCTGCAAATTTGGTAAGTTCCCCTTCTATTCCCTCATCTAAGTTGTTTATGAAGATAGTGATGAGTACTGGGCCTAAGATGGAACCTTGTGGTACCCCACTGCTTCCTTCCTTCCATGTAGACGTAGACCCATTAAGGACTATTCATTGGGTATGGTTTGTCAGCCAGTTGTGAATCCATCTGGTGGTGATGCTATCTATGCCATTTTGTTCTCGCTTACCAAAAAGTAGGTTATGGTCTACTTCAAGGGTGTCAAGCTCGATTCCATTGAGGGCCTCATCAGAGTTGTGTTTGACTTTGGAGGACCGGGATGGGTGTCGCCAAGGTGGGCATGGCCAACTCAACATCACTTGTGTCGGGGGCAGTTGTGATGGCCCGAGCACTCTGTCCGTGAAAACGGGCTCCTGAGCTCCATTTTCAGCTGCAGAGGCCTCCTGTAACCCTCTGCCTGTGAAAAGATGCAGAGTGTTGCAGGAGGCCATGACAGCTGAAAATGGGGCTCGGGAGCCCGTTTTTGCTAGCAGAAGCACTGCGGGCCAGTCCTTTGCTATTTCCAGGGCAGCCTCGCGGGCCATATCTAAGCACCCCACAGGCTGCATCCAACCCCCAGGCCTTGAGTTTGACACCCCTGGTCTACTTTGTCGAATGCCTTGCTGAAGTCTAAGTATGTTATATCCACAGTATTTTGCTGATCTACTAATTTAGTCACTATGTTGAAGAATGAAATAAGATTGATTTGGTATGATCTGTTTTTAACAAACCTAGGCTAACTGCTAGTTAGTACTTTACTCATTTCTAGATGTTGGCAGATCTGTTTTTTTATTATCTTTTCCGGTATCTTCCCAGATACTGATGTTAGGCTGATTGGTTTGTAGTTTCCTGGGTCTGTTTCCCCTCCCCCCACACTTTTTTTTGAAGATGGGAGCTACTTCACCTCTTTTCCAATCCTCTGGTAGTTCCCCGGGGCTCCAGGATTTTTGAAAGATGTGATGCAATGGTTCTGAGATGACCTCTGCCAGCTCCTTTAGAACTCTGGGATGTAATCCATCAGGTCCTGGTGATTTGTATTTATCAAGATCAGACAGGTGTTCTCGTACTATTTTTTTTGCTTGTTTTAACTTGTATTTCTAGTCTGTCTTTTACAGTTATGTTTTTGGTAGGTTGGGCTATAGTTTCTTTTTCATTGAAGACCGATGCAAAGAATGAGTTAAGCAGCTCTGTTTTCTCTCTGTTGCCTGTTACTTCCTTGCCGTCTTCTCTCTTTAGTGGACCGACTGTTTCCTTGATTTTTTTTCTTGTTATTTATATTGTTATTTTCTGCCTATTCTATACCAATGCATTTTTCCTGCCAAGTGTAGGACTCTGATTTTCCTATCTTTGAACTGTATCTTGTAGGCTAGGGCCAATGCTTAAATATGTCAAGATCCTTCTGAATCCTGAGTCTTCCACGTGTTAGCAATTCCACCCCCCTCAGCTTAGTGTGATCTGCAAATGTCATGAATTGTCCTTCTATCCCCTCAACTAGATAATTTATGAAAATGTTGAAGAGCACTGAGCCCAAGACAGAACCTTGAGATACTCCACTACATGCTTCCCTCCATGTATATGTAGTTTGTTAAGGACTACACACTGAATGTGGTTGATCAATGAACTGCGAATCCATCCGGTGATAATAATGTCCATTTCACATTGTTATATCTTACCAAGTAGTAGGCTATGGTCTACTTTGTCAAATGACACTGAAGTTCAGATATACTATGTTTACAGCATTTCCCTGATCCACTAATTGAGTCATGACATCTATAAAGTCCATGAAGGGAGTATAATAGGCTGTTTGTGACCCATGAGCTGCAAGTTTTGTCCTCATTTACATCCTGGAACATATTACAGATCTGTCTATTTATCTACTTTAAGGAGCACCAAAGGCAACTACCATTTTAGAATGGAGCTTCAATGAAGTCTAGAAAGCACCATGAGAAGGACCATAAGGACCCAAGTGCAGTTAACAATTGCACAACCCCTACCCCAAACACTAATGCTGAATCCTGACACAATTTACAATTATTTTCCCTTAATAAATGAAGCTACAACAAAATTCAGATAATTTATTGTGCTGTGGATCTGTTATTATTACTAGAACAGAAAGAAGAAACAACTGCTGGATTTATCATTCCCCTGAGACACAAAAATGTTTGCATAGGCCACTTGGAAAGTACCTAAATAAAGCATTTGTTCTCATGACAAACAGCAAAAGAAGAGACATAAAGGTTTTGGGAAATTTCTGCCACTGAATCTGGCTACCAAATGCCTTCTATTGTTGAGCTACATGCTAACCAAGAGATCAAATTTTCTTCTAACAAATTCTCAGGGCTATGGGAATCTTTTAGAAGAATCCAAAGGAGAGTAGCAATAATCTGAAAGGGAAATGGATACCATAAAAATGCCCAAACACAAAAGCAGCAGTGGTTCAGCAGCTGTTCTTAGTACATTAACAAAGGACAAAGAAATTTAGCCAACATTCAAAAGGCATCTACTTTTGTCTGTTAATCAGCAATACTGAACTCTCCTATCCTTACTTTCTGCCAAAGAACAACTAGTTATCTGCTGTTCTGGAGTTTGTTTACTATTTTAATAACCAGATGTGTTTACTGACATCGCTCACCATAATATAGTGCCAGATAACTCACCGACTGCAGGGTGCCACCACGTTTTTTGGAGAGCTGTGGTGAGTTGCCATATTCTCGACACACCTGTTTCCTCACTTCAGCTGCCACAGTCCTGTGAGAGAGGAAGATAATAGTGAAGCATCTATTTTTTGTTTCTGTATCATCCATACTCTCGACCTTTTTCCACTCCACCAGAAATACTATGAGGAGTGGAACCCCTTCATTGACAAAGTATACATTTGTTCTGAATCAACATATCATCAATTAATAGTAAATCCCAAACTATAATTCTGCATTTCAAATTATCTGCAGCCATTGTCTCCATTTATTCTAGTCTCAGCTTCCATAGAGTTCAAACCTCCCCTGACCTCAATTCAGTGCCAATAACATAGAAGAGATGAATATCATTCAGAAACTGATCCTTACTCTGTTTTTTCTTTAAACAAAACCAACCCCGACCTCATCCTGATACAAGAAAATAGCATCTTCACAGTAAGATATTTAGGTTAATAATTCAAAATAAATTTTCATTCACTATTACAGACCTCTATAGTAGGTTTCAGAAAATTCATGAGTGAAAATTAGATTTTCTGAATCAGACAGGTTATACGAATGGACAGAGCAACAAAATATTTCTGCTTCCTTTATATAATCATTATTTAGTGAATACATAATAGTATACCAAGCCAAAACTCACACTTTAGCAAATATAATGCACACTCTGTAGGATGATAATCCCAATATCAGGGATCCAAATAACTCCTCCAACAGAATTAAAACTCCAAGGCAAAGTTCTTCCTCAAAGTATAAATTTATTGGAGGCATCATTATTGGAACATCTGGGGAAAACCCAAATCTAAAATCCTGTGTTTTCCTCACCCAAAGTAAAACCCACAGTTCCTTCCCCTGCATCCACTTCTTCATCATGTGGTCCAATCACATTCACGTCCCAACTCCAGCCAACTTTTCTTAGTCCTTCCCAGGTGCCAGCTGGACTTCCTAGGCTCCCAGAGGAAAGAATGCTGTTATGGTTATACACCCCCACTATCTACACCTCCCCCCTTTCATTCTCATAATTAGCTAAACCATCGCTGTGGTTGTGGCAGCCCTGTAGACTCTCACAGGATGACTATAGGGCTGACACCCAGGGAGTAGCAAGCTGTATCTATTACAAGAGGAATTTTTAAGTGTTGTGGTGCTGCGATGCTCCTCTCCACCAAAATACATTGGGTGATGCCCATTAACAATGATTAACAAGACCATCAATCGCAGCAGAAGGAATTCTCCAGTTGTGAGAGACTATTTGCACTGCATTCTAGAAGATTCCAAGTCAGGTAGCTGAGAAGGAAGATGACCAGAAGAGGCATAGACTCACGTTCTTCGTAAGATAGGAAAAGGATATGATGCCAAGTTTACCAGTCTGGGTAATTGTTGTGGAATCTTAACCTCTCCTCATTCAGAAATACCCCAGCAGGAGTGAAAACAGCTGCCTTTTCCTCCTGAAAAGACCGATTGGCCTCTAATGGCATAGAAGTTGGCAAAGCCTCCTCCCAAGAAGTGGCTTACTTTGGCTGCCCATCCTGAGTACAAACAGGCAGCCAGGCTTTCCCTCTTCTTTGAAAGGTCCAGGACTTGCCTCTTCCATGTTGCATCATCTGCCTGGCCACTCCTTCAGAAGCAGCTGACTGCCATTTTTATCAGCAGTTGCCCAAGCTGGTAAGCTTGACATCATGTCCTTTTCCTGCCTTAAGAAGGACTTGAGTCTGTGTCTCTTCTCTCCGTCAGTTATGTGTCATATAGCCTCTTTCCCTCCTGCCCTTCCTGATGTCTGCAGATGCTGCACTCCCTACTTCCTGCCTTTCAATCCATTTGGCCATCAAATCCACATCTTTCTTGCATTCACAAAATATGGCAAGTAGGTGGCTTCTTTGAGTTTTAGCATGCCAAGACCCATTTTCCATTCTAAAAAAAAATCCCCAGGATGAATGGAAATCAAACCACTTCCCTCTTCCATTTTCTTCACCCTTTCTCTTTTTTGCTTTTGGAACTGATGGATCAACAAAGAGATCTGAGATAAAGACAAGAAGGTAGATAAGAAATCTGAACTAAAAGAGACTGTTACATGTCATACGCTTCAACCAATCCCCAGGCAGCTAGAGTAGATGCAGTTGTGTTGGAGGGGGAAAGGAGCAGGCTTAGAGAATCACAGAGATGTTGGAAGATTAACACTTTGGAGGCATGTAAGGTATTTTTCCACCAAAAAAAATCCCCAGATATTTAATATGCTTTTTTTGTTTCAAGCAAAGAACAGAGCTATCAACTCTGTTTTCTGTGCTCAAGCACAAAGACCAGCACACACATGAGAATTTTTCCACAAATTACATAAATGGCACTTTCCCCCAAAAACAGAAGAATCTGAAAAATATGATAAGTAAGCAGACAACTTGAGAAGGCTTTCAATAAAGCTAAGGAAAGGCCATTCCAGCAAGTTTCTAATTGTGAGAAAGGAGGGAGAGAGATTCTTCAAATGTTGTTTTGGCAACAGAGAGGAGCACAGTGGGAATTAACTTGGACTTCTTTGGAGAGGATGGGTGTTAGAAATAAGTTTCTTCTGCTTCTTAGCTCTAGAAGACATGGACCTTTGTAAAAAGTTCCATTTGACTCCCAGTGCAGTTTTCTTAGACCAAAATATTATTTGTATGTGTATGTGTGTTTGTGTAATAAATATTTATGTCCAGTTGTGAATGTATGTTTTAATTAATGTACTTTGGCCCAAGGTGAATGAAGAATAAGTGTACAATATTTTATCTGATTCTGCTAAAATACAGAACTTTGATTTCTTGAATAAGCTACAAATTGGCTTCAGTGAAATACACCAATAAATTCCTACTGTTGAACTCTGTGAAAGTTCACTACACAAAATGGGTGTACTTTCCAATCCTCTGGCTCCATCCACTGAATCAGAAACTGAAATTTGTATCATGATGTACTGGGTACAAACAGGCACTAGAAGAAAAGTGGGGAAGAGCAAGAGGATTCTTTCCTACAATGAGAAAGCTGTTGTAAGGACTGATATATGTTGTTTATTGTGTTCAGAAAGCTAGTTGTAAAGCAGACAGAATGAGAGAAAGAGTATCTAAGTACAGTACCTCATTGTAACAGCAATTAACAAAAAAAAACCACGCGTTGTGCTATTCATAAATCTCTAGGGACTATTTGAGGCAACACAGTGAGGTTCAGTGGTTCAGTGGTTCAGTGGTTTAGAGGTGGAACTCTTGCCTCACAATCAGGAATCTGTGAGTTCAATCCTAGGTAGCGGTGGATATTTCTCTCTCTGGGCACAATGAGTAAATATCAGCTGCAAACTCTGCATTGACGACAGGAAGTATCCAGCCAGTAAACACTCAGCTCCATTCAGCTGCCCCAACTCCACCATGATGCAAGGGATTATGGGGTCATTAAAAGACAAAAAAAGGTGTAAAAGCTTTAAAAGAGGCCTACATGGCCTGCTACATATTAAGCTAAATTTCAGGATCTGAAACATTTCTTAAATTCTGCAAATTCAAATTATTATTCAAAATTATGATATTACAGCATTCTGTAGTTACATGATTGCCATTTGTGGTTTTCAACTGCTGGCTCTCAACAAGCAATATCAATGGAGAAGCTGGCAGGAGATCACAAGTGGCAACCATGTGAGGTTCCACTTAATAACAATGCAAGACTGGCTTAACAACAGCAACTGGAAAAGTCAAAATTGTCATTAATAACAATTTTGATCATATGAAACATTGTGCTTTATGACTATAACAGACATTCAGGTCCTAACTACTGTCATTAAGTAATTTGTAGTATTCATCTAAAAGCTAGCAGGACACAATATTCAAACCGTATTCTGATTATTTATATCGAAGTATTGTTACTACTGCCACAAATATGTATTACTGGAAGAAAAACTACACAAGAAATGTTTATATATATTACAATATTTTGCCATACAACCAAATATGTATAAAAGAAAGAAATGCCAAATAGTTTTACTTGAAGGCAAATTAAACAGTTAGTTGAAGCTTTGCACACACTCTGCAATTTCTAGCATTAAAGTACAGTGTTGCTAACTTTCTTTGGGATGCAATAAAGAGATTAATGAAGCAAAGCAGAAGAGCCCTGCAGAATATCAAAGTCAGAGGTGGTACTCAGCAGGTTCTGACCAGTTCTGGAGAACTGGTAGTAGAAATTTTGAGTAGTTCAGAGAACCGGCAAATACCTCCTCTGACAGGATATTTTACAGTATCCTTCCCCCTGCCATGCCCATAGAACCGGTAGTAAAAAAAATTGAATCCCACCACTGATCAAAGGCCTTATACTACAGTAGTTGGGGGCCTGAAAAAGAAAATGATGCTGGTACAGGCATAGTTCCCAACTCTTGTCTGACAGGGCTTTGCAGGAACAGAAGGCTGGATTCCAAGGGCCTTTGGACTGATTCCGCTCTCGGGCTCTTCCTATGAAATTGAACAGAAAACCTTGCCTTCTCTCTTCCTATGAAACTGGCAAAACTTTTTCTGCATGCCCAACTCTCTGCCCTTGTTAAAGTTTTCTAGAGACCCAACATATCCAAACAAAAAAAGGGTCAAGCAATCCACTTTAGCAGGGCAGAAATTCTACACTTTTTAAACTCCACCTAATCACGCATTCTACAAAACACAGTGAGATCTTGAAGACCAACATTTGCTAGATCCATAACATAGATCCCCCCAGACTGTTTAATGAATATAGCTGATTACTAAATTGATATGGTTTCATTGATTTCATTTTATAAAAACTAAAATTCTATCTAACCATATATTTATTTGTTTATTTGATTTGTCAATCGCTTACAAAATAATAGTATAAGTATAAACATGAGTAAGAATACAGAAAATAGGTACGATTAAATGGGGACAATAGGACAGGGACAGGAGGCACGATAGTGCACGTATGCACGCCCCTTACACACCTCTTAGGAAAGGGGTGAGGTCAATAGCAGATAGTTTGAGGTTAAAGGAGTGGGGGTTTGAGGATGTAACTACAGAGTCAGGTAGTGCATTCCAGGCATTGACCACTCTGTTGCTG